GATCAGGAATATGAAGTCGGGGATCATGTATTTATCAAAGTAACTCCTATGAAAGGCTAGACGCGGTTTGGTGTAAAGGGCAAGTTAGAACCGAGATATGTTGGGCCATATGAGATTTTAGAGAAGATCAATCCAGTGACGTATCGGGTAGCCTTATCGCTAGTCATGGAGCATATGCATAATGTTTTTCATGTATCAATGCTCTTGGACTATTCGAAGGATCCATTTCATGTTATTGAGCCGACACATGTACTTTTAAATGATGATTATACGTATGAAGAACGACCAATTCAAATCATTAATCGAAGAATCAAGAGATTAAGGAACAAGGAAATTCCATTGGTGAAAGTTGATTGGCAGAAGCATGGAGAAACTTATGCTACATGGGAAACTGAAGAGGATATGATGAAGAGATATCCAGATTTGTTTCCGTTGAACCTAACGTTCTTTCAAAACGAAGGTAATTCGAGTTTAAAGGATCAAACTCTTTAAGAGGGAAAGACTGTAACAGCCCCGACTTCTGATTAACGTTAATTCATGATTAAATAAGCTTAATCAGTAATTAAGGTGAAATTCTGAATTAATTGCATATGTGTCGCATTATTTGTGCTTATATCTGTCTAATATAGAAATATCTGTTTGAGTTTCTGTTTTGTTCTGTGAATTGAAGGCCTTATTGGCATCCGATCATGAAATTGGCTTGATTTATGTGTTATTTAGGATTTTTAAAACATTATGGTAGGTTTAATTAAAATTCAATTCGGAACGATTAAATTAGAATAATTTAATATCCAATTGATTAGTTGATCAACAATTTAAATAAACCATTAACCAAGCCTATATAAGGCTCCCATATGTGCTTCATTTCTTTCCTTCAACACATCTTTGAGCCTATACAAGCAAACAAAATGTGAGAGAGGAGAGAAAGAAGAAACCTTGGACTCAAATTAAAGGATTTGCTAGGAATTGAAAGAATTGAACTTAAAGATACAAGAAGCAAGCCTGTAGCCTCTCGCTGGCAAGCCTAGGTAAGAATTCAACCCTTGGATTGTTCAAAGATGATATCTAGACCTTGAATTCAAGAGAATTGAGTTGAATAATGGAAGAACTAAGCTAGAAATGAAGAAAATTGAGCCATTCATGCATGCATGCATGCATATATCATAGCATTTTGAGTTTGTTTCTAAATAATTTCCACATGCATGTGTTTATTTTGACATGGTTTTGAGAATTCATCACATCTCTTACCATTTGACCTTAATTGATCATGTTTTGGAAAGTCTAAGTTCATAGTAATTCATGCAAGTCATGTTTATGGCATATTCATAAGTTTCAAGTTGACTTTTGAACAATGGGCATGCTAATAGTTTTGAATTCAAGATGTTTTTCAAGTTTATACAAGTTTGCTCAAGTTTTTGGCCCAAAAGAATGAGTTTTAAAGTGTTTGATTCGAGTTTTGAGCTTGGGAGTGCAATATGGAAATTCCAGATTTTGGTCTTCCGCTCGAGCAACCGAAGCTACGCTCGAGCGACCACTCTGTGATCTTGCACTTCCGTGTGAGAGACCAAAAGTTGGCTCGAGCGTGAAATGCAAGCTCCCAGAAGTTTACACATTTTGCAGATCGCTCGAACAACAAGAGTTACGCTTGAGCGAGGGCCCCAGTCTCACACTCAAGCGGCCATCAAGTGGAGAATTCACATAACCAGTACTTTTCAGAGTTTACAGACTGCTCGAGCGAAGGAAGTTGTGTTTGAGCTGTCCCTTATATGTTTGCATGTCCACTCGAACGAGGGAAGTTGCACTCGAGCGGGCCTTCTGTTTTCAACAAGTTTTGTTAAGAGTTCCAAAGTGCATTTTGGCATCCTCATTGCATCCTAGATATTCCTAGGCCATAATTAAGACCTAATAATGAGGATGAGACTTAGAAATACACTAAGAACGAAATGAAAGAAGTTATGTGTATTCAGGTATGTGTTTCAAGATGTGTATCTGTTATGTTTGTGTAGGTCACGCGCTATAAACTGTTTGATTTTGTCTGCTCTGTCTGTCCGCATCTGAAGCCATCAGCGAGTAATAACTTAGTAAAGCTATGTTCAACTTTAATTATTTTCTGTATGAAGAAATAAGATATGTTTAAGAAATGTTATGTTCTATACGATGAATGGCTGTCCCATTTTTTTACTAGTATTCGTGGCATCGTCAGTACAAGGCCCTTGTCCGAGAGTAATAATACCGTGGTCTCATGGCCCTTGTTGGGGGATAATAATACCGTGGCTCAAGTATATTACAAGTTCCCGGTATCGGAGGTTCCTTATGGAACTGACAAGCATGATAACGCTAATGGATGTACCATGTATGATGAAGCATGAATTCTTATTTCTGTATGTAGTTTGAACAAGAATATGAATATAAATCTGTTTCTGATATGAACTCTAATTTCTAAATCTGTTATAGACATTATTCATTTAAACCCTTTACTCTGTTATTATTCACTGGGCTTCCGCTCACTATTTATATTATGTATGTGGGTAAGCAGGCGCGTGATCAGGCCTAAGTTGCTGCCTGGAGTGTTTTTGGGTCAGCCAACCATTGTGCCTCCCAGGGAGGTTCCTTTTTGAGAAGTCAAGTTTTGGGAACCGTTGTAGATGTTTTGTTGTTTGTTTTGCTTATCTGTACGCTGGGCTGAGTCCCTCATGACATTATATGTACAGTGTTACAAGTCTTATGGAAGTTTGGCATTATATAAGCTTAAAATTTTTTTCCTATCTCATGTATGTCTACATAGCTCTATGGATCTTGTATTTTGTATAATTGCTTCTGTAGCCCCTTATATTTTGTTATTATGTTAAGAGACCTTTGGTAATTCCAGGATTACTGGCCAGTTACGTCACTAAACCTATAGGGACGGGTTTGGGTTGTGACACGATAGATGATGATAAGAATCATGAAGGGACAGTTATAGTTGATTGGAAAACCAACTTACAATCTGGTAGTAATAGGACTAGTGAGGGTTTAGTTAATAGATGCGATGTCAACAAGACAATGATTGCTTGTATGCATAGTCTTTAAATTTCTCTGATTTTGTTAAATATATAGAAAATTGTGATCAAATTAAAGAAAATTAATCAAAATACAAAGAAATTCCAACTCAGAAAATTTTAAAACACATAGAAAATCGAAGAAATGGAGTAGAGAAATTTCAAAATACACAGAAATTTGTTTGAAATTTCTTTGTGCTTTGAAATTTTTTTGGATCAAAATTTCTTTAGCAAAATGTTGAGTGACCCTAACTATTATGAAAATATTGCATATCTCTTATCTTATAAAATCTTAATATCATCAGGGGACCTTAAAAAAAATTCTCCTTGATTTAACTATAATTTTTAAAATTACACTAGTCTCCCCTTAGACTTGTCAACTTTACTGTTTACTCCATCCGTTTCAAAATATTAATTATTTTTGGGGAATTTATATTTTTTGGTAGTACAATTATTACACCTAAAAAAATATTAACTTTTCAAAATATTAACTCTTCTTCTAAATTAATTAACATTAATAATTTTTTATAGTACAATTATTATATTTCAAAAATATTAACTTTTTTAAACTACCATTTGATAGTAAAATTATTACATTTTGTAATTAACTTAGAAGAAGAGAAAAAATAAAAAAATTATATTATTTTAGTTATTAATTTTTAAACAAGAATGAGTATTTTGAAATAATAAAAAATAAAATAATAAATTAATATTTTAAAATGAAAAGAATATTTTATTTTATTATATTTTTATTTTAAAAGTGTTATGACATTTTCCACATCTCTCATCATAATTAAAATAATGATGCTGTACTAATTAGTTTGGAAAATGCTATACACTCTAAATTTTTTATCAAATAAATGACCAAATATCTCACATTGCGAACCCCATACCCATATAAGATATCAACAATGTTAAGTGACTCGAAAAATCATGGCTTGAATGACTCGAAACACCCAAAATAACGTCGTTTTGGATGTAAAACGACGTCGTTTTAACATATTCGGGCCATTCAAGTCACAAAAATTCGAGCCACCAAACATTTTTCATAAGACATTTGATCATTTATTTGGTATCCCTAATATTACTCAGTTAGTTTTGATATACTAATTAATAAATGGATAAATTACACTTACAACTCCTAAGATTTAGATTTAATACATATCATCCCCCGACGTTTGGAAAATTACACTAACCTCCCCTGTCATTGTAACTATTTAGACGGAATGAAAACATTAAACTCATGTATTCTTTTTTTTTTTTTGCTTTGTTTTACTTTCTCTTCCTTTTTTTTTCTTCTTTCTTTTATTTTTTTAATATAATTTCTTCTATTTTTTTAGTAGGAATTATTATTTTTTATATAAATAGAAAGGTTTGTGAAATGAAACTATTAATTAGTAGGGTGAAAATGTAATTTTTAAATCGGAAATGAGCCGTAGCTCGAATTGGCTCGAAAGAGGGAGAGAAGAGAGGAGAAAGAGACAGAACAAAAAGAGGGAGAGAAGAGAGGAGAAGAGAAAGAGAAGAGCCGGCACCACCGCTGCCGCCGAGGATCGGCGCTGCTCGTCGACTTTGCCTCGCCTCCAGCCCCATTTGTTGGGCCCCTTCCAGTCCCTCCTCCCTCCTTCCTCCTTCCTTCTCCTTCTTCCTTCTCTTCTTCTTTTCTACTTCTAATTCGAGTCAATTTCAAACTTCACCTTTCGAGCTACGTAGAACTACCGTTTTTAAACCGTCAAAGAATAAATAGTAATTGGACTAAAGGCGTCGATGTATGTCACCCTCAATATATCAAAGATCATTCTAATCAAAATTCACTTTGAATTGTGAGTGGGCCCCGCTGTTCAAAACACCGCAATCAGCCAGCCACGTGTACCCATCCTTGTTGCCATATACATCATCACACGTCGCGTTCCCATATGATGATGCCACGTCACCACTAACGATAACTTGGATATGAAAGGGCCTTCCCCGTAGAAGAAGAGGAAGAAGGAGAGAGAGAGAGAGAGAGAGAGAGAGAGATGGCGCGAGCATGGCTACATTTGAACAACTACAACAGAGCTCTGAGTACTATGGCCTCCAGTGGCAAAGAGACAGAACACAGAGTTCAACTTCCAGAGAAGGTTCGAAATTCTAGGGTTTTGATTCTTGGAGGAACCGGCAGGGTCGGAGGCTCCATCGCCACTGCTCTCTCCGCCCTGTGTCCCGACCTCCGCATCGTCGTCGGCGGTCGAAACAAGTAGTTCTCACACGCTCTCTCTCTCTCTCTCACTGTTTGGTTGCCGAGAAAATAAAGTTCTGTTGATTAAAGTTTTATTTTGAAAAAATTATAAAAAAAAAACAAACTCCGAATTTGACTGTTGTAACAAAATAAATTTAATTTTTTAATTTTATCAATTTAAATTTTATACTTTTAATTTATTTTCAATATGAACAATTTGCCTGAGTATTTCAGACATTTTATATATAATTACATTAATTTTAATAGCTAAAAGATTATTTTTTGATTGGTTTTAGTAAACGAAATAGTCAAATAATTTAAATTTAAAAAATTTAAAAGATTATAATTTAAATTAATAAAAGTAAAAATTTATAATTTAATCTATTGCAGAGATAACTTGTTTTATTACAAGGTCAAACCTAGGATTTGTTTTTGTAGTTGTCCATTTAATTTTCTTTCATTATACTTTTTGAGCATATCCAAATGGCATCACTTTTGTTACAAAAACCGTTTGAATTGCTTTAATTTCTCAGGTTCCTGTTAATTTTTTATTTTCCCACTGTTTGGTTGTTTGGAAAATATATGTAGAATTTTGTGCCTTATGTTATCTTTAGTTTTCGGGTGATTAATGCTGGCAAAGTTGCCTACGTATCCCAAAATGGAAATCAGTTGTATTGAGGTTGCAAGTGATAAAAATTTATGTTTAATTTCTTTTATTTTCCGTGTTTTTTGAAGCATCCAAATGGCTTAACTTACAATTTACAAAGTCATTTTGAATTCTCAGGTTCCTGTTAAATTTTCTTTCCCCTCCTCTGTTGGTTGATGATGAGAAAATAAAGTAGAATTTTGAGCTTTGTATTTTCCTGCGTTTTTTGAGTATCACACTTGAGTAAACTTGATGATGTAACTATTTTGGGTTGGTTTGATTTTTCAAGTTGCTGTTAATTTTTTCTTTCTGCTCTGTTTGGTTTCCAGGAAAAAAAACACTAGAATTTTGAGCCTTATTTATATGTAGTTTTTGGATAAATATGCCACTAAATGTATTAAGATTGCAAATGATGAAATTTCTTCTGATTAATAAAGTTTAGTTTTCTTTCATCTTCCTTTTTTATTTATTATTATTTTTTTTGTGTATCCAAATGGAGTAAGTTTAGTTATGTAAATATTTGAAATTGCCTTAAATTTTCAAGTACATCTAAGGTTTTCTTTTCCCTCTGAGGAAACACAAGGGACGGAATGAAAATAATGCTTTTGAGTACCCTGCTCCATGTTATTTTTTGTTAAATGAAATAGAAAATTCACCGTAACTCATCCTAGTAGTTCTGGTGAACTCACTTGGGAGGAAAATTTCAGCTTTCTCAGCCTCCAAGGAAAAAAACTACTATCTTTCAATTTTCCTACATTTTGAACCAATCACAGATTTAGTTCTTGAAATTTGTGGAATGCGTGGAAACCTTGTTCTTGATGTTTCTAGTATGGAATTTGGAAATATGATTTGATTTTTCAAACTTAAATTCTGAATTTTCTGGATTGTGTTCTGTGTCAGGGAAAAAGGTGCTACTAGGGTGGCTCAACTTGGGAAGAATTCAGAGTTTGCTGAAGTCAACATTGATGATATGGAATCTTTGGAAGCAACGTTACATGGTGAGCCATCTAATAAGTTCGAACTTTCAACAAGATGATTCTGTTGCTCAAACTACAGTTGTTTTTTAATAGACTCTGTCCTTTTGTTACAGGATTTGATTGTTTACTATAGAAAATAACAGAAAGTAGACAACTAAAACGTATTCAGAATTATGAAAATTTTGTTCCATCTGACACTGGTAATGAACTTCACTTATCTGTTCACATTGGCTTTACATGAGGTTTATTTGAAATGCTAGCAATGTACCTTTTACTATTATCTTCATCATAGGCTGTCATTAGCAAAGAAGACCTGACACACATCTATTTGACTTGAATAAAGGCCACTAAACTCATAATTCATATTTGTTGAATATAAAAATTAGAGTAGATAAAATCTTTTTATTTTTAGTATTATGTATATAATCCGTGAATCACAAATTATATACATAATAATAAAAAAAAAGAAATTCTATGTACTGTAATTTCTATACTCAACACTCCCCCTTAAGCTGGTGTGAAGATATTCAACAATCGTAACTTGCCAATGGATGACTGGAGTAATGTTGGTCCTACGAACTTTGTGAACATATTTGCTAATTGCTGATAAGGAGAGACAAAGGATGGAGTCACAATACCAGTTTGAACCTTCTCTCGAATGAAATGAATATCAACCTCTATATGCTTAGTACGTTCATGAAGAATAGAATCAGAGGACAGAACGAAACCATAGAATCTCACATGTTCCCTGTGCCATAGCTGGATACTCAGCTTCTGCAGAAGATATAGAAACAACTGCCTGCTTCTTACTCTTCCATGATATAAGATGATCACCATAGAAAGTACAAAAGCCAGAAGTAGAACGCCAATTAGTTCTAGATCTTGCATAGTCAGCACCAGGGAAATTGAGGAGCGACTGTAAAGAATAATCCTAAGCCAGGAGAGGTCTTCAAAACATCTCAAAATACGATGAACCGCATCAAGATGTTTTGTATGAGGTGCATGCATGAATTGACTAACAACACTGACTGCAAATGTCAAGTCAGGTCTAGTGTTGATCAAATAAATTAGACGTCCAACAAGACGTTGATACATGCTTGGGTCTTCTAGCAACTCGCCAGATTTTGATGTAAGCTTGACATTGGGATCCATAGGAGAGTAGAAACAGGTTTACACCCTAACATATCAGTATTCTGAATTAAGTCAAGAGTGTACTTTCTCTGACATAAGGAGATTCTTTGCCGTGAGCGAGTCACCTCAATCCCAAGAAAATACTTTAGACTTCCCAAATCCTTAATATCAAAGGTGTGTCCCAAATCCCTTTTTACTTGATTAATGCCCATAGAATCATCACTTGTGAGAATAATATCTTCCACATAAACCAACAAGACTATACATTGACCAGTTGAATTACGACAGATGAAGCAAGTATGGTCGGAGTGGCATTGAACAAACCCCATGGAGATGATGACATAACTGAAACGACTAAACCAAACTCGTGGAGATTGTTTCAAGCCATACAAAGACTTGCACAATCGACACACTTTTTTCGTATACTCCCCCCTTAGCTCGAAAACCAGGAGGAGGTGCCATATAAATCGTGTCAAGAAGATCTCCATGAAGAAAGGCATTCTTGACATCAAGCTGATGAAGATGCCTAGAATGGGATGCTGCAAAAGAGATGAGAAGACGAACCGAGGTAAGCTTGGCAACAGGTGCAAAAGTGGCTCCAAAATCCTCGCCAAGAACTTGGGTGAAGTCTTTGGCCACCAAGCGGGCTTTGTAACGGTTAATGGAGCCATCAGCTAGATATTTAATAGTGAATACCCATTTGCAACCCACAGTACTCTCGCCAGAAGGTAAAGGAACTAGATTCCAAGTATGATTTCGTTCTAAAGCTGCCATCTCAACTTACATAGCCTCCACCCATTTTGGATTTTGAAGGGCCTCTGACACAAAACAAGGAATGGCCTCGGATCAAGCTTGCCAAGAAAAGAGCGATAGGTAGGGGAGACCCTGTCATATGAAAGATACTGGAAAATGGGATAATTAGTATTACTCAAATAACCCCCAACGGTTTGGAGGATGTCGATTCCGAGGGGGATTACGATGAGGAGGCGGAGGGGATGTATGTAAAGGAGAAGAAGTAGAGGCCATATGAAAGACATGATTTTAGATAATAAATTTATAATCCCTGGTAAAGATAACCATGATGACAACAATGGTATATATTAATTTCTGAGGCAATCCCACCATTTTTAGGTAGCTGCAACAAAATCTTTTGGTATATATTCTAAACACTCTGTATTCAAACTACAATATTTCCTTTACAGATGCAGATCTTGTAGTTCATACTGCGGGGCCATTCCAACAGGCAGAGAGATGCACTGTGCTGGAAGCTGCTATAAAGACCAAGGTGAGAAGCAGGTAATTAGCGCGATTTTAATTCCTCATTTTTTGAATTGTATCTCATCTTTTATAATTAGTAGGTATCTATATAACGTGTCTTCTTACGAAAGAGTATAACCTTAGCTTGCTAATGTTTTGTCTCCAAACAGACAGCATACGTTGATGTATGTGACGATACAACCTATGCGTGGCGTGCAAAATCCTATATGAGTAAAGCACTGGCTGCAAATATTCCAGCCATAACAACTGGAGGAATCTATCCCGGAGTGAGCAATGGTGCCCACACATTTAGTCTTGGTTAAAGTTTTACGCATTCAATTCACTATGAAATATTCTGTGACCCAAAGTGAAACGAATGTTTTGACAACAAATATCCACAACACAGCATAGAAGCAACGAGTGATCTTGTAGGTCTGTCTCTGCAGCATATATTGTTGTGAGGCATTAGTTTAAATAATGGTCTTATGCCAACTAGTGGATTGCACATCATGTCGGAGTAACTCTTTGGTGTTTCCAATATGAATTTTCTCAAATATTATGGTTTATTGACCCGACACAAACCTTCCTCCTTTAGTCAATCTTAGAATAGAACTTCAATATTACTATGGGTTGGAATTCATATTTAGTTAGTAATGAAGCCAGAATATGTTTTATGTGGAAAATGATTACTTTATTATGTCTGATAATGATAATATGCTTCAGCTCTGGAATTTGATCATTCATAACATTTTCGTGACAGTGATGGCAGCAGAGTTAGTTCGTGCTGCAAGAAGTGAAAGCAAGGGGGAGCCTGAGAGACTTAGGTAATCATTTCACCTGCTACCCCCTTGATGTGGGTTCCAAGATTTGCTTTTTTTTCCATCAGTTTCTGATAATATCAAACATTGATCAACATTTCACCATTCATCTCTATCTAGAGCCATAAGTTGCCAGATATTTGGCGCCAGCTTATCTGTTTGCACCTTGAACTCTTTTTTTTTTAATTTTTTATTTTGTCTGTGGAAAAGGCATTATAATTATACTAGTCTCCTAGGCTGTTATATTTTTCCAGAAGGCAAGGCAACAATCATCTCAAAAAGCAGAGATGATTGTTGACTGCAAGCAACAACATCTCCTATTGAAGTGAGTTCTAGGCTTTATTGTAACATTCTTCTAATTTGTCCTCAATCTTTCATCATCCTCACCATACTATCCTCATCTGTATCATTTACTCGTTGAACATGTCTTAATTTATTGACACTCGGCCCCATGCATCATTACAAGCTTTGCAACATTGAAAATCTCTTTATAACTTGAGTAGCATTTTCTGTTCACCTATAACTTCTCAAACACAGGTAAAAGGAATGGCACATATTTTCTTTCCTCACACTGTTTTAGCTCCAAGTCAACATCCTTCTTCATCTTCCTCTCTTTTTGCTGATTTTAACTGAGGCCATTGTTACTGATATGTTACATGGACTTGGATATGAGTATTGGGTGCAGGTGTGTATCCAAGCTTTAGACTTTAAAAAATTTAAATCTTACGATCTTGAGATACATATCCAAAATTGAATATAGGTACGGAGACGCATCATATACATATATATATATATATATATATATTTTCCTCACACTGTTTTAGCTCCAAGTCAACATCCTTCTTCATCTTCCTCTCTTTTTGCTGATTTTAACTGAGGCCATTGTTACTGATATGTACATTATGCATAAATATACTATAAATTAAATAGGATTCAGAAAAAATGTAAAGTTTCTATATCTAATTCATGTGGGTGGCTAAAAGTATTGCTTTGCTAGCACATATGAGTTTCTTCTTTTTCTTATATTGTAACAACTTAAAAGGTCCGAGTGTCTAAATTGGGTACGAGTGTCAGACACATATTTCACACCCTTACCCATATCATATCCGGTGGACACGGGTACTTGGGGGATATAGAAGAGTCCATGTAACACATTCTGTATGCAGTTTTTCAATGTTTGACTACTACTTTTGTCTACTACTTTGGTGCTAATAGTAAAGATAGTTGATTAAATGCAAATCCAACATGGTTGCACATACATAAGTATTACTTGTGCATACATCAGTGTTACTTGAGAGTTATCTCGAACTGGGGTTGAAAAGCGACAAATATTTTGTTTTTCTTCTAATTCTTTCTTAAAGAATTTGGCAACTTACATGCTGGTATATTACTTCAGATTCTCCTACTACACAGCAGGCACTGGAGGTGCTGGCCCAACAATATTAGCCACTAGTTTTTTACTTCTTGGAGAGGAGGTTGTTGCATATAGTAGAGGTTTGTTTCAAATGTATAGCTACAATATTTTCTCTAATTTTGATCGCTGACCTATATTATATCATCATTCTCACCGAAATAATGGATTAAATTTATCAGGAGAAAAGATCAAGCTAAAGCCCTATACTGGAATGCTAAACATCGACTTTGGGAAGGGGATTGGAAAAAGAGATGTTTACCTCTTGTAAGTTCGTAAGATACAAACTACTCTTAAGACAGCAAAACTTGCATGCATACAGATACAGTGAGCCAACATTTTCTTGAGTGGGGTACATCACTAATATCAACTTTTAGTTACATAAAATTACAACAACAAAAACTCTTTGGATAAAGTAAAACACAATATTTATTTCATAAAATACAATCAACAGATAAGAAAATTTGCATCCATCGGGTCCATATGTTTTTAAAATTTTCAGCCTCTTGCAGAATAACACAACGATAAGGAAACCAGTTTATTTGTTACATCTGTTTTTGAAGCCCAGCTGCATTCATATTTAAGAACCCCCTCAAAAAATTCTTACAGGCCCATGCCAAGTTGAATTCTATTAAAGTTGGAAGGCACCCCTGAAAGTAGAAGTTGATTTGTCATGCCATGTGAAACGCTTGCCACAAAAAAAAAAAATGTAGATTTTGTGTTATTAACTTCCACAATTAACATAGAGTCAGTACTTAAATTAAATTCAATGATCAGAGTTTGCACTGGATTTTAATGATAGGGCTTAAGTCATAGAACATTGTTTCCAGGAATTTGCCAGAGGTGAGAAGTGCCCATGAGGTCCTACGAGTACCAACTGTTAGTGCTCGATTTGGAACTGCACCATTTTTCTGGAATTGGGGAATGGCAGTGATGACTAATCTTCTTCCCAGGGTATGTGTAACAACCCAGATTTTTAATTATTCTATAGAATTTATACTAATATTATTTAATCTCAGTTCGGAAAACATATAATTTATTATATATTATTATGTATAATTTTGTAAAATAATATAATTATTAAAAGTTTAGGGGTCAAAATATAAATTATACTAAAAATAGAAGCTCCAATGATTATTTTCGTACCCTTATTTAAATATTACTTCCACTTGCGTTTATTGATTTGTTTAAGAATTGGCCGTAGGTAACTTCAGTTACTGGCCATCACGATGCTTAACCCTTGGGTACGGAGAGCGGGTCGTGACAGCTAATATTATTTAATCTCAGTTCGGAAAACATATAATTTATTATATATTATTATGTATAATTTTGTAAAATAATATAATTATTAAAAGTTTAGGGGTCAAAATACAAATAATACTAAAAATAGAAGCTCCAATGATTATTTTCGTACCCTTATTTAAATATTACTTCCGCTTGCGTTTATTGATTTGTTTAAGAATTGGCCGTAAGTAACTTCAGTTACTGACCATTACGATGCTTAACCCTTTGGTACGGGGAGCGGGTCGTGACAGTATGCTTTTACATTCTGAAAATCACTTAATTTGCACTTGTTTACTTCACATTGCTTTTATTTTCCTTGCTGCCTTGCTCTATAAATTATCTTTGAGTTACTGCAAAATGGTTATAAATCCAATAACAAATGATAATAGCAATGATATTTTTTTAAGTTGGTTATTGAATTCAAGTGAGATAATTTAGACTTAGTTACTTCTGACATCCGCTTTTATTGGATAGAGTTTGGCATTTCATTACAGTGGATGCAGAAACCCTTTGTTATTAATATATTAAGGATCACTTTTGTTTTTTTACGAGAGTTTTATACAATGTTTTAATGATAATTTGCAATACACAGAGCAATGAGAATTGAGAAACAAATGATTCATGATTTATACTTGATTACCATTGTGATCAAACACCAATTGTATGATTCACTATTATTTTAGCTCCTCCCAATAGGCCTATGTAATTTTGATCTAGTCTTGCAGGAATTTCTAAGAGACAGGAGTAAAGTTCAGAACTTGGTTGAACAATTTGACCCAGTGGTTCGAGCAGTTGATGGAATTGCCGGAGAGCGTGTTTCAATGAGGGTATGGTACCACATAAATACTTAAATGAATTGACTGGTTTTGTTAGAATTTACCATTACCTACCACCACTACCACCTCACCAACTCCACTAAACCTAACCCACTACACCACTACCACCTCACCTACTCCACTAAACCTAACCCACTACACCACTACCACCTCACCTACTCCACTAAACCTAACCCACTACACCACTACCACCTCACCTACTCCACTAAACCTAACCCACTACACCACTACCACCTCACCTACTCCACTAAACCTAACCCACTACACCACTACCACCATCCACTACACCTACATCTATATAAGGAACCATTTGTAATAGACATTAGATATCTATCAATAACATCAATCAATAATACATAAATTCTTACAGGTTTATATTAGTTTTATTTGAGGGCTTTTTTTTTTGAATTTTTTTTTATTGGACTTATACATTGCATCAAGTATGTCGCTTCATCTTCATTTTTCTTATGAACAGGTCGATTTGGAGTGTGCAGATGGGCGCAATACATTAGCTCTATTTAGTCACAAAAGACTCTCTGTGTAAGTTCTATTGTCTAGAGTCTTTTTGTACTCTTTACCTGCATTGATCTACCTATTCTCACCTTGCTAATTGATTTGATTATCCTTTAAAGAAGATAATTTTCCAAGGATTTATTTGACTCATAAGTCATAACATGTGTGTATTTAATTAATCCCTTGCAGATCAGTTGGAACTGCCACAGCTGCATTTGCACTTGCCATTCTTGAAGGAAGCACACAACCAGGTGTTTGGTTCCCAGAAGAGGTATATATATCAATTCTATTACATAAAGCAGACAATTTACTTGACGAAACTATGTCACGCATTTTTTCATGTCCAAATTACCCCTATGTAACTGCCTTAAGTTTTTTATTTCAAATTTTGATTTCTTCCATTTTTTTTTCTTTCTTTTTCTTCCATATATATGTTCAAACTACCAAATAATTTAGGTTGCAGATTTTCTTTTACCGTGCCTTTTAATTCTATAATACATTTACCATGCAGCCTGAAGGAATTGCAATTGAGGCAAGGGAAGCTCTTCTAAAACGAGCTGCACAAGGAACGATTAATTTTGTAATGAACAAGTAATAACTTTTGCTTCAGATAAAAACAATTTTCTGTCATTACCATTCATATGAGCATGTTGTTTTCCGTAACTTTTCCTTTCAACAGGCCTCCATGGATGGTGGAAACAAATCCAAAAGAGCTCGGTTTAGGAATATATTTGTAAAAATTCTCAGATAAACATTTCACAAGAAGTTGAATTTTCTATTCAGCTTTCTCCTGTTCAGATTGCAAAGGTAAAATTTCGAAAATTTTGTGCATCTTATAAATGAAGCTTTGGTTAACATACATTTTGACTTAGAATCTGTTGGTGTCTCTCTGTTATGTTTATTTTTTCAGGTAAGTGAGTCTGTTGCCCAGTTAATCATTTTTGTGAAGAGTGAGCAAAGCAACTTGAAAACTATTTTAAAGTTCATAACCAACTATCAGTTAGCGCTATTAGGTTTTGATTATTTTTGAGGAAAAATATTAAAATTAATACCCCCCTTCATAATTCATTGAACTGCCAACCATTTAAATATATTTTATCTGTGGTCTTAATTATTTTTAAGACAATACAGCCCTTCACGTGGACATCAAAATTTTCTTGTATGTTTAGCTTCATTCTAATATTTATAAACATATGTCTGATAATTGTAATTACATTATTTTATTATTTTTATTTTAAAAAAATTGATGATGTATTTAAAAATCATAATTGTGATTCATTTGTATAAAGAGGGAAGATTATAAAATAAAAAAAATAAAAAACCCAATAAGTAAAAAGGAAACACAATTTATTTCATTTTATTTTATTATGGTGCTTGGATAAATAATCACCTCGGTTATTATTACAACCAAAAATAAAAGCAAAGAAAGTCACTTGGAAACGCAATTGCTTTTAGCAAATACAACAAACCTTGTAAACTTCCAAGTTGTTAGATGAGTGAAGTCTTGTGAGGGTATGCACTAGAGATGATATTCACAAACATCTATCCATCGTTTACGGTATAGTCTTTACAAAGGAATGATTTTTTTTTATTTTTATTTAAGGAAGATGAAAAACAGTTATATTAAGATAAAAACAAAATAAATTTTTTTTTTTTTTTTTTTGAGGAAGATGATAAACAGTTATATTAAGATAAAAACAAAGAACATACAGAGTAAAATAAAATAAGACCCCAAAGGACCAAACAACAAACAACAAAAACAAATTTGTCAAAAATTAGTTGCAATTCAGGAAAAACTACCGATCTTTTCATAGATGTCGTTTGGAAAGTTAGATCTGCATCAACATCCGTCGTCGCCGTTGACATTGTCCTTATCGCTGCTGTTCAAGTCCGTCGCCGCCGCCGTACTTTAGATACTGCCAGAAGTTAGAGTCGAAGAAGAAGAATACTCACAATGATATAGGAGAAAGCTTGAGAGAAGAAGGAAACATTGTAAGTGTTGAAAAATTAAAAATCTATGTCGAAATCGGAAAAAAAAAAACTTAAAACTCTTGTTCCGGACATAAAAAGTCCAAATCTACACTCTAAAGTGTAGATATATAAATATATATATTTTAGGAGTGTAAATCTACATTTTAAAAATGTAAAGGAGGTCGCCAAAACAACATCGGAGCTTCACCTGAAATTTCTACAGAGAGGCTCTCACTGCTTGATCTCTCTTTCTCTCTCTACTGGGCCTCCATAAAGGAATGACTTTGAAGATGTTAATGGCACCACCAGCATCTTTAGCCATAGTATCTGAAATTGCAGATAAAGCAGTTGTCTTGATCGTTCTCTTTGTCTACTCTCTCGGATTTTTTTAAAATTTATTATTCATAAATAATTTACTTTTTAGGTGAATATCAAAAGGAAAAATGAAACCCATAAAATTTTTAGATAAATTACAGAAGTATATAAATTTTGTCAAAGATTTATGTACAATTAACACTTCAAATGGTAATTTGATAAATTTTGTTACAAATAAACCTTTTAATGTAGCATTCCTTTTAAAGGTGGGATAATTTTATCATAGTTGCAATACCGGCAACAAAAACTCGATAAATTTATTCCTAACGACCTTTTATTTGTTTGTTTTTATTAAATTCTAAAACCTTTTGATTGACACTAATGCAAAGGGTTAGATTTTGTAATTTATCTAAAAATTTATGGACTTTTTCTTTATTGTTTTAAAGATTTATGTACAATTCACACTTTAAATTTAATTTTATGAATTTTTAAGAGTTACTCAAAATCTTAAAAATAAATATTTTAACGTAATATCCTGTAGCATAAAATGAAGTGTGAACAATACATGTTTTATCCTAGTTACAACATCAGCAACAAAAATGAGATAAACTTATTCCCAATGACATTTCGTTTGTTTTCATTCAATTCCAGCAATCTTTTGACAGACACTAATGTAATATTTTATTATTTTTTTTTATTCACATACTAATACAAGTTTAGATTTTAGACTATATCTTGCTGTTGCCTACTTTATTTTACGTTTTACAATTATTTTTTCTTGATTATTGAAAACAAAAAAATAAAAATAAATAGCATAAAACAACTGTCTAACTAATTAGATTGGAGTGCTTAATAGACAGCATTGGAAGGATGCCAATGCATGAATGCTCCAAACCAATGGAACCTCCAAGCCTTCAGGTTATGTTGAAATGGACGGTCTATTAAAATTATATGAAATATTTATTTTTTTGTATGAGTATGAACGGTTGAAATTACTGAGATGAGTTTAGTATAGGTCTATAACCAATGAATTGAACTTTTTAGCCTGCCCCGAGGGCAAAGTTGATTCTTTTTTTAAAAATCTACAGTACCCACTCAATATCTAAGAAATTAAGAGATCAAGAAGTACCTAATTACTAGCATTACTATATAAATTTTGATTCCAATATCAAAAGGTTATGTGGTTACCTCCTTTAGAGAAATGAAGGGCTATGTCTACTAATAAGTGCATGTTATTTCTTATGAGCAATGTTATACTATATAATATCTTTTTCTTTGATTGTTCAAAACAAAACAATAAATAAATAAATAATGTAAATTTGGAAACACAAATTGATCAAGGAAAACTTTGTTCTTATCAAATTTATAATCAAAATGATATGATAGTGATATGCTTGAAATTTTAAACCATTTTGATAAATTTTTTTGTGTTAAAATAATAAGATCAACACTTATTTCTTGGTTTTTTAAATATATATATATACACATAAGATTATATAATTTCACACAATAATTATACGGGCATCGTGCTTTACGTGTCCTCAACATTTAATTAATAGTATGGGACAAAAGTATTATTGTTTGTTTGTTTGTTTTTTTTGTTTTCTTGTTTTGTTTTGTTTTGTTTTGTTTTTTTTTTTTTTGGATTTGCGGTCACACATTGTCAAGAGTGACTTGTTAATATTTAAATTTGCATTCTTAATATCAATCTTCCATTTTAGAGGCCGAATGTATTTACATCTAATGCATGTATTTCTATTTTTTTGTTCACACTTTGAACAAAACACATTTCGTAATTAGATAAAATAATGGACTCTTACATTTTAAACAATATCAATTATACTTCAAATAAGATTCATTTGTATAATTTTGACATTAGTGTTCAGTTCACAAGAGGAAAACAAGTGACATGTAGCATTTTTTTTTTCCCTCATAATTATCTGATCTTTCACTCTCTGGTTTAAATTATAATAGAAATAAAAAAAAGCCTGGATAAACTTGTGCCATAAGGGAAACAAATGACGTGCAGCATATTTCTTTTGATGATTATCTAATCTTAAATTACAATATATAGAAGTAAAAAAAAAAATCTAGATAAACTTATCCCAACAACTTATTGATAAATGCTAAAACGTAATTTTAGATTTTAGGCTATTTTCTGATTTTTATTTTATACTTTTCCATATACAATATCTTTTGCCTTGATTGTTGAAAATAAAAAAGTAAATAAAAAGCATCACTTTTTTTTTTAATAAAAAAGCATAAATTTGAGAGAAATAGATTGGCTAAAAAAAATTTAAACCATTATGATTGATATTTTATTTTAAAATATTAAAATCAAAACTTATTTATTGATGTTTGCGTTTTTCGGTTTTATAGTACGTGTAATCATCATATATTGCACCACGAAAAAAATGTAATTTTTTCTTGGCTTGTATATAGGTGTGCATTTTTCTATTATAGCATAGTTCATTTTCACAAGAAATGTTATAAAAATCTTATAAAAAATCACTAGATTATTTGAATAGATAAGGTATGCCCATCGATGTACACACTTTTAGCTAACGTACGTAGTACTAGATTGGTTTAAAGAAGGGATTTTTATTGATAAATCCCATTTAGGAGTGTTCTAACCCAATAAGTCCAAGAAGGAAATTTATAACCTAGTTAGTCCCATATGTTTGTACTTTTATTCCATGAGATCATTTTTTCCTAATTTTATATTTTTTTGGGACTATTATACCCTTATATATTATGTTGATACGTAATATATACAAAAAAAGGGGAAATACATGTCTCTGTTTTGTTTGTTAGTGTTATTCACGTTAATGGATCTGATTCAGTTAATCAATGTCGATTGTTTATGGTAAGGTTCCATTATGGTAGGATTTCGGTGTAGTGGAGAGAAGACGACGACGAGTTTCTGTGCAGTGAGAGAGAAAAAGACGACGACGCTGGGTTTCTGTCCATAGGTGTGTTCGTTTTCGTAGTTTGGTGTTTGTGTGCTTTGGTTTGTTACATAATTGTTGGAGACCAGTCGTTGATCGAAGGTGGAGAACGATTACAGAATTTCTTTCTCAAGGTTAGTATCATTTTGTTTATGAATGCATGCTCATTTATGTAAAGGATTGCATGCTCTGTTTTTGAATCATGACATTTTCTTGAATACATGGATAATACAAGTGTATGTTTGATGAATGAGGTTCTGATTTTTACTGGTAATGCATGTATATTTTTGTTGGTTTTCTCATATAGGTTCTTCCATAGATGTAGTTCAAAAAAAAAAAAAAAAAATTTAAATAATTTTTGGGTTCGAAGATTGTCTTCTTCCATTGTTGTGATTCAAAACTCTATTTTCTGCCATTGTTGTAATTCCAGCCGAAAATCAAAGGGAGAGAGAAGGATTTGAATCAAAGGGGGAGAGCGAATTCAAAACTCAATTTTGTATCCAGTCGATTTTGTAACAAACTTATTCTTTGAATGTGCATTTGGTTTGATTTGGATTAGATTGGTGTAATAGTGGAATTGCTTGGGTTGTTATTGATAGTGATAATGATGAAGATGAAGATAAAGATGAAAATGAAGATGTGAGTGATAGTTTTTTATTTTTTGAGAGATTGAGGTTTGTCAAATTTCTAATTCTGTTGCTGCCATTATTTTTAGTTTTTTGTTAATCTTATCACATCATTAATTAGTGTTAATATTCACATTATCTGTAACAGAAATTTGTCATTTGTGTTGTCAATCAATGTGGATATTCACACATCCATATAATATTGAATATTGTATATATTTTCACCGTGTTCATTACTACTATGCGATTATGATGTTAAAGTTCACATCAATCTGTTGTATTCAGTCATATAACCACAAGCCACAATGTTTATTTGGACAAAAAAATGAT